AAATCGCGGCCGCGGTTTGATGCGCTGTTCCGCGACGAAACCAAGCTTTAGCAACGGGCGTAGTCGAACGGTACACACTCGGTAAGCAATCCTACAATTTTTTGTTTATAACGTAGTTTATACGGATTATTTTCAAAAAAATATATGCATTTTGGAAATGTTGAGTCGAATTAGTCTAGAATCGATTAATTTTATGAAAGAAAATCTTTCAAACAGCCATAGTCCGTAAACTATGATTCCTACAAAATTGATTCATAAAGAACGGAACGTATCTACTGTCTTATAGGGGGATCTACTGTATTTATAATATGTTATTTATGAGAAAAACTCATATTTCACTAGCATGAATGCAGAAAAACATTGAATCCAAAAAATTAAATAAATAAGTTTAAATAAAAAATATAGAATATTTGATTATAAATCTACTGATATTATTTATATGTATCATTATGAATAAAAAATTAATTTTAGAATACATCCAGTCAATAATAGATATTTCAGTCATTTTTACTGTGTTCGCATATCTTAATATCAGATTATTCTCAAAAGAATAATGTAGAAATCGTCAACTTGTATTAGTTTTCATATTGTGTTTAAAAAATACTATTATTAAAAGTAATTATTTTGAATCTGTAAAATCATTACCTGGAGCTACTGTACAGCAGCGAATACCTTGAGTAGAAAGATCACGAGCTATTGGTAAAGTCATTGCATTAATTGCACCACTACTTGCTGAATATGCTGACTGCCCAATCTCTCCATCAAATGCACAAATTGATGATGTATTAATGATCAATCCTCTCTGCCCATTTGTATCTGGTGTGTTTTTTCCCATCATTCCAGCTGCTAAGCGTAATATATTAAATGTACCAATAACATTAACCTGAAATTATAAATTAAATATTAGATTTTTTCAAATTAGATCAAAATTATATAGTTTTTTTGTCAAACAAAATAAAATATAAAATACCGTATTAAAATATGCAGAAAAATATAATCCTCAGATATATATCTGAGGATTATATTTTTCTCCATTCAAACTGGCCGAAAACATTAGAAAAGTGAATAAAAAGGCTGCATGTTTAAAGGTTTTTGTATCGAGGTGTGAATATTAGTTGGGTGCAGTTAGAGAAGAGTGAAAAATATAATTTCAAATAAAGTAATATAAAGCAACTTCATAGTTTGCCCTCACTGTAAATAACACTAAGATGAATGAAAACTATTATTGTGGAATATTCAGTGTAAAATTGTAAACATAATATTTATCATCCAACTAAAAACAAATTCTGACAGTGATATTATAAATAAAACTTTTTGTATTTATAACAATGTTGATGATATGAATAATAAATCATTTGACTGTTTCATTTTCACATTGGTAAAATTTAAAATAAGAAGTTGTAAGAAAAATAATAAGAGATACCATTAATTGCATTTAATGTTGTTATAATTTGTTATTTTATATAATTTTTTTTGTTAGCAACAAGGGACCACTGATACAATGAAATGCCATTGAATATTGTAATTATGTCTTAGTGTAATCATTAGAGATGGGCAAATATCACTTTTCTCAAATTTGAATATTAACTAAATCTCAAATAACCTGAATACTTAGTGAAGTTAATCACTACTAATGTCAATAAGTCATTACTTGTTTTATTGTCTTCTAAATGAAAATTCTCCTTCTGATTTTCAGTCAATTTACAATGTTATTATTTTATTGTACTCAGAAGAATGTTTTCTTTAACATTTAATTAACAACTAATTTTGTTATATCTGATTAATTTTATATTTTAGTTGCAGTTTAACTGGCATGCTGGTAACCATGTGGTTTCTGGCATGCTAGTCTCCTCTGTTTATATGGGGCATGCTAATCATTCTGCAAAAATACAGTAGTATTCAAATTTATTTTTTATCAATGCTATATTTGAGATCTCAAATTTCAAATACTTTCTAGTATCTGAGTATTTTCAATTAGTATTTTCTCATCTCCAATAATTATATTATTATTTTAAAATGATCACTAATTCTTATCATTGTGTTTTTGTTACAACTAAAATAAATATTTTATGCTCTTTATATATATAAAGAGCATAAAATAGGTTACAAGTAAGGTACAAATAAATGTGAAATCATGCATATTATTTCTGTAATATATTCATAAAATATTTATTATTATTTACTCAAATTCCTAAATTATTTTTTCTAGGAATTTAATAAATATGAAAATGTTAAAAATGAAAAATTTTGAAACACACTTCAATCATGTTTGTTCATTTCCTATTTGCATAATTATTCATGTGTACTGTACTTATTTATTTATTTTACACGTTAATATTTTAGAACTAAAGAACAACTAAAAAACATTCTAGAAAGTTCCAGAAAACATTTTAAATTCTGTTGTTCTCTGAATATAAAAGTTTCAAATATGCTTTGAAGTTTTTTGAAAAATAAAATTAAACACACACAAAATATATCAAGATAATGATTTCATTCAAACTCAAGAAGTAATTGGGACATTCCAATTTTCAACACGAGTGTTGGGTGTTGAAACCAATAATTTGACGTCATCAACAACGTTTCAACTTCAGGTATGAAGTGCTTAGTTCCCATAATTCCATTCTCAGCAAGATGGATTTCATTCAACTGTTGCACCAATTACCCGTAATTCATTGAAAAATAGCGATCAACATATCTGTTGAGTGCTGAGTGTGTTGAGTCAGTGTTGACAACAGCACTGCACCACTTTAATGTTGAAAAAAGGAATGACTTTTAACAAACATTGAGATCAGCACTTAGTCAGTGTTGAAAATTGGAATGTCCCAGAACGCTTAGCTAAAATGACCTCTGGCATCATCACAAAGTAACCTTTATTATTACATGCTTAATCATTTATAGCAATTAACATGAATCTATTGTAAAAATCTATACTTAAAAATACTTACATTTAGTGTGTCATGAAAATCTTCCAATTTATGTGAAACATTGGTATTGAAATTATATACTTGATAAGCTCGAGCTATTGCAGCACAATTAACAGTAAGATCTAATCTTTTAAATTTGTCTTTAATCATTTGAAACATGTTTTGAACTTCATCCTCTGAAGTTATCTATTTTATTGAAAATAATGATAAATTCATATTAATAAAACTCTGAACAGCATATCATGATATTCCACATACAATATTTATTCGCATATAGGACAAGGTGTGACTTTAAAAATCAAAATTAAGAAAATTAGATTTATTAATACAATTCTAATTTTATTTTATTTAATCACAAATTAAATATCAAATGCATGTAAATGCACACATTATCCTGTAAAAATTACTGGCACGTTAAACTTTAAGAAAAAATCTTGTAAAATCAACAACATAATTTGTTCACGTAAAGCTGCACAATCGGGAATCTTATTTGACAATTCTTAACGTTGAATCCACTTTCCATTGATTACGCTTATGAGTTTCTCTGAATTCTGATTTCCGAATAATTATCTGTTTTCATGTGGGAATGGATTAAAACTTATATCGGGCTCCTGTGTGATTTTGGAATTCAACTTAAAAACTTTGCTTTTCCTATTGCTATTCATCTGCTCCTGAGGATACACACAAACAATTCAAATGAACCAGATAAAATACTTGTGTTTTTAAACACCAGAGGGTGAGCATCCAGTAAAAAATGCAAATACACAGTTCAAAAAACTTAGTACAAAAACACAAAGAATCCTTCGCTCGTGCATATAAGTCAACTTAGGTTTTTGAAACAGTGAAAAATGAATAAAAACTTGTCTTATATGCGAGTAAATATAGTACATCTCAAAATAAATAAATAAAAATAAAACCTGTAATAAATTTACTTTACGTATTTAAAATACTGTATCATCACAATTATTATACATACTATTTTTTATCTGAATTTAAAAACTAATAATTATTATAACAGAGTATTTAAAATGTAAAATGTAACTTCGGACATGTGAAAAACATTGATCATGCTACTTTCTATTGAGAAGTCTCAAGGATTTATATCTAGAGAATGTGCAGACCATCAACCCTCTTCCATGGTGTTTTCCATGATGCAAAAATCATTGAAGTTGAGGACAAATATCTTGAACATATTGTATAGCTTGCTATTCAGTTATGCTAAAATCATGGTGTAAGAATACAGGTGATACCACTCCTATTGTTTGACTGTCAAAAACTTCTCAGGAATGTGGTCTTACTTCAGATGTTCACCACCAGGCGTCATCTTATTAGAAAGTCTATTTTGTATCATTGCTTATCATTTTATGTTGTCTCATTCAACAGTATTTTAAAAAAATTCTTAGAAAAGAATGTCTTTTAAATAATGTGTGCATAATTGCAAAGATAATTATTATCCAAAGAAACAAATAATAAATGTATTTAAGATAACAAATGATTTGGAATTATTTAAAAAATGGAAACAAGCAATACTGTGTGCAGATCAAGAACTGATTGAATGCTATGACATTTGTAAAAAGCATTGTGCTCTGTATCAAATTCTTCATTCGTAGAGAGTATATAAAGATAGAAAGGAAATCATCAACGTTCCTTATAAAACTTCTTGACAAACTAAGAATGCAGTGCCAGTTTGTTTCCGAAATTCCCATCATACCTTTCTAAACCTAGCAAAGTACTTTGAAAAAGTCTTTTAATTACCTTTAAACTATTTAACCAATCCATAACCTAAAATATACTTCTAATTGCTGTGTTTTTTCTACAGCAGTGTAAAAATTATAACCAAATATATTTTATTGCAGTAGTTTTTTGGGACAATTAGAAGAGCTGGATGTCAAAATAAACATCCTGTCTTCTAAGCTTACCACTGAGCCTTTCCTGGATGTTAGTTATTTTTGCATTCTCTATCTTGAGAGAGTGTGGGTTTTGGTTGAATATGTAATTCTCAATATTGGCTGGTTAATCAAAATGCTTGGTTAATATTGAGAATTACATATTCAACCAAAACCCACACTCTCTCAAGATAGAGAATGCAAAAATAAACATCCTGTTTTTCAAACATTTTTGCAACTACATAATGATATATATACATGTAGATTGTCATCATTATATTCCCCTATAAAAGCCACTAAGATACTAAGATCTGGTATTACACTGTATATATATATATTTCCTATATAAGTGAAGACTTTAGCTAAAATTATGTTGTTATAATTTTACCATAAAATAAAAATTTGAACAACAATTTCATATTATTGGGCCGCAATTTGAAAAAATTGTAGACCTTTAAATTCCCACTGTTGGATAACAGTAGGAATTTAAAGGTCTACAATTCATCTGCCTGAACTTCCTTAATCTCAAGAATAGAGTTAGTTAGATGAAAGCTAAGACAAGATATGGAAAGCTTAGAAGCATGAGGCCCAATTAACTATATATGAACTTCTGATGCAAACTTGAAGTCACATTATTTCAATTAAAAAATTTTTCCCTGAAAAAGAGATAGATGACTAGCATAATTGTATTGCTAACAGTAAAAGTATGATACACAAAGACAAGACATTACTAATTTGAGGTGGAGAACATATATTTTAAATCAAATACATTAAAAATATGATTAAAAATTGTAGTCCAGCATTGTGACAATGTCACAATAAATACTGTATTTGCTCGTTGCAATATATCTTTTTCAGGTCCTTGCTGAGTGAAAGTATATTATAAAAACTATAATATATATATTGATTTTTCAGGACAAGTTCATTTATAGTTAAATTGTTAAATATATACTTACATCAGTAGAAGAGAATACACAGTTGTTACCCAAATCTTTTGCAATGCTTTCTCCATTTGATGTTGGTAAATCACAGATGATTACTTTAGCTCCTTTACTTATTAAATTTTTTACAGTAGCCTGTCCTAAACCCGAAGCTCCTCCAGTAACAACAGCTACAAGATCCTTAAAAAAATTAATTTCAAATTTAAATGTAGTAATTAAAACTAACAAATCAAATTGTATTTTCACATATTATATATACTGACATATAAGTCTACCTCAAGATTTTCAGACTCTGGTTTAAACCTACACTCAGACATGCAATAGGGTATCAGTAGGCTAGAACTAAGATGTGGATATGGTATGTGATAGTCCACAGTAAAAATGTATAATAAGAGCACAACACTTTCATCAGAATATTGACTATTATACCTTTCAATATACAATATATATGTTTTGCAAGTCTGGAAACATCGTTCATTCTTGAAATAGACTAATTTTGAATTGTCAATTTTACATTACCATTTTATAGTTTCTAATAAGATGCCAACATTTGTTTGAGTCTTTGGATTATGATTTAGAAAATGTTAGTGTGTCTTATTTAGACAACAGTGTTTCCTATTCACTACCAATCACAAAAGTTTGGCATAGATTAATTTTTGTATTATCTTTTTACCTGAAGATTACTTAATATTTTATACTTGCTAATGATGTTCATTACAGACATGTTACATTAAATATTATATTACAGCTTAAGCATACATAATAAATAAGTAAGTACTCATTGCAACAATTTCAAAATTAAAAACTCCAAAGATAACAATAAATGAAAACATATATATATATATATATATATATATTATGTACTATGCAGTAAAGCTCATATAAAAAAGGATAAAGACAACAGTATCTATGCAAGATGCATAACTGCAAAAATCTTCAGTAATTTATCTTGNAGTACTCTCCATTAGATGTGATGCACTTGTGAAGTCTTTTTCCCCACTGTTTGAAGCATCTCTAGAATGCTTCAACCTTGATATTGTCCAGTGCCCTTAGCAAAGTTGTTTTTACCATCTCCACATCATCAAAATGTTTCCCTTTTAAACTTTTTTCATTCTCGGAAACAGAAAAAAGTCGCACAAGGCTAGGTCTGGTAAATACGGAGGGTGGGGAATGACAGGCCAAATAGTGAGTCACTCGTAAGGCCGTGTGTGCATGGGCATTGTCATGATGAAGGAACCAGTCACCTGATCGCTAAAGTTCCAGACGTTTCCTTCGCACATCCTCTCGCAGACGTCTTAACACTTTTTTGGCAGATTTTTTCAACGTTTTCATTGTTTTGAGATGTTGAAGGATGTCCAGAACTTTGCAGGCAGAACAAAATAACAGTAAGAGAAACACAACACACTATGCTCAAACGTAAACCTACAAACTGATGCCATTTGCACAGCTATTTCATGAAGGTCTCTACTAACCCCATGTAACGGGAGAACTCTCTGCTTGTCTACGAATGGCAGCGCGCTCACAGTTCGGTTTTTATTTGGTTCCCCCTCGTATATGTCTATATAAAATACTTTTTATATTAAAAAAAAAAAATTTCAAAAAAATGGTAAAGTATGAAAAAATCTATATCTATATATATATATATATATAAAAATGGACATGTATGTCCCTATATTTCACTTTTCCGCCAAAACTACACATCGCATGTGAATGGTGTTTGTATGTGGTAGTAGCCCCAAGTCTCCATTCGTGCACTATGGTGGTTCCGTCTTGATAGCTATAAGGGTGCAGGAGATATGGGCCTGAAAGTGGTTTTCTATTTTGAATGTTATGTTCAAATTTAATTTGAACATAAAATTTGAATATTGGTTCGATTATAGAATGATTGTAAATGTTCCAGAAATGTTGAAAATAGTTTGTTTGACTGGATGTAAAAATTCTGTAATTAGTCTGGAAACGGGGGACCTAATTCTTGCATTCTGTGAAAACGGGTAAGATTGGCTATAATGTAATTATCTTAATCTTCACTATTGTTACTTTTTGCCCANGCGACGAAACCAAGCTTTAGCAACGGGCGTAGTCGAACGGTACACACTCGGTAAGCAATCCTACAATTTTTTGTTTATAACGTAGTTTATACGGATTATTTTCAAAAAAATATATGCATTTTGGAAATGTTGAGTCGAATTAGTCTAGAATCGATTAATTTTATGAAAGAAAATCTTTCAAACAGCCATAGTCCGTAAACTATGATTCCTACAAAATTGATTCATAAAGAACGGAACGTATCTACTGTCTTATAGGGGGATCTACTGTATTTATAATATGTTATTTATGAGAAAAACTCATATTTCACTAGCATGAATGCAGAAAAACATTGAATCCAAAAAATTAAATAAATAAGTTTAAATAAAAAATATAGAATATTTGATTATAAATCTACTGATATTATTTATATGTATCATTATGAATAAAAAATTAATTTTAGAATACATCCAGTCAATAATAGATATTTCAGTCATTTTTACTGTGTTCGCATATCTTAATATCAGATTATTCTCAAAAGAATAATGTAGAAATCGTCAACTTGTATTAGTTTTCATATTGTGTTTAAAAAATACTATTATTAAAAGTAATTATTTTGAATCTGTAAAATCATTACCTGGAGCTACTGTACAGCAGCGAATACCTTGAGTAGAAAGATCACGAGCTATTGGTAAAGTCATTGCATTAATTGCACCACTACTTGCTGAATATGCTGACTGCCCAATCTCTCCATCAAATGCACAAATTGATGATGTATTAATGATCAATCCTCTCTGCCCATTTGTATCTGGTGTGTTTTTTCCCATCATTCCAGCTGCTAAGCGTAATATATTAAATGTACCAATAACATTAACCTGAAATTATAAATTAAATATTAGATTTTTTCAAATTAGATCAAAATTATATAGTTTTTTTGTCAAACAAAATAAAATATAAAATACCGTATTAAAATATGCAGAAAAATATAATCCTCAGATATATATCTGAGGATTATATTTTTCTCCATTCAAACTGGCCGAAAACATTAGAAAAGTGAATAAAAAGGCTGCATGTTTAAAGGTTTTTGTATCGAGGTGTGAATATTAGTTGGGTGCAGTTAGAGAAGAGTGAAAAATATAATTTCAAATAAAGTAATATAAAGCAACTTCATAGTTTGCCCTCACTGTAAATAACACTAAGATGAATGAAAACTATTATTGTGGAATATTCAGTGTAAAATTGTAAACATAATATTTATCATCCAACTAAAAACAAATTCTGACAGTGATATTATAAATAAAACTTTTTGTATTTATAACAATGTTGATGATATGAATAATAAATCATTTGACTGTTTCATTTTCACATTGGTAAAATTTAAAATAAGAAGTTGTAAGAAAAATAATAAGAGATACCATTAATTGCATTTAATGTTGTTATAATTTGTTATTTTATATAATTTTTTTTGTTAGCAACAAGGGACCACTGATACAATGAAATGCCATTGAATATTGTAATTATGTCTTAGTGTAATCATTAGAGATGGGCAAATATCACTTTTCTCAAATTTGAATATTAACTAAATCTCAAATAACCTGAATACTTAGTGAAGTTAATCACTACTAATGTCAATAAGTCATTACTTGTTTTATTGTCTTCTAAATGAAAATTCTCCTTCTGATTTTCAGTCAATTTACAATGTTATTATTTTATTGTACTCAGAAGAATGTTTTCTTTAACATTTAATTAACAACTAATTTTGTTATATCTGATTAATTTTATATTTTAGTTGCAGTTTAACTGGCATGCTGGTAACCATGTGGTTTCTGGCATGCTAGTCTCCTCTGTTTATATGGGGCATGCTAATCATTCTGCAAAAATACAGTAGTATTCAAATTTATTTTTTATCAATGCTATATTTGAGATCTCAAATTTCAAATACTTTCTAGTATCTGAGTATTTTCAATTAGTATTTTCTCATCTCCAATAATTATATTATTATTTTAAAATGATCACTAATTCTTATCATTGTGTTTTTGTTACAACTAAAATAAATATTTTATGCTCTTTATATATATAAAGAGCATAAAATAGGTTACAAGTAAGGTACAAATAAATGTGAAATCATGCATATTATTTCTGTAATATATTCATAAAATATTTATTATTATTTACTCAAATTCCTAAATTATTTTTTCTAGGAATTTAATAAATATGAAAATGTTAAAAATGAAAAATTTTGAAACACACTTCAATCATGTTTGTTCATTTCCTATTTGCATAATTATTCATGTGTACTGTACTTATTTATTTATTTTACACGTTAATATTTTAGAACTAAAGAACAACTAAAAAACATTCTAGAAAGTTCCAGAAAACATTTTAAATTCTGTTGTTCTCTGAATATAAAAGTTTCAAATATGCTTTGAAGTTTTTTGAAAAATAAAATTAAACACACACAAAATATATCAAGATAATGATTTCATTCAAACTCAAGAAGTAATTGGGACATTCCAATTTTCAACACGAGTGTTGGGTGTTGAAACCAATAATTTGACGTCATCAACAACGTTTCAACTTCAGGTATGAAGTGCTTAGTTCCCATAATTCCATTCTCAGCAAGATGGATTTCATTCAACTGTTGCACCAATTACCCGTAATTCATTGAAAAATAGCGATCAACATATCTGTTGAGTGCTGAGTGTGTTGAGTCAGTGTTGACAACAGCACTGCACCACTTTAATGTTGAAAAAAGGAATGACTTTTAACAAACATTGAGATCAGCACTTAGTCAGTGTTGAAAATTGGAATGTCCCAGAACGCTTAGCTAAAATGACCTCTGGCATCATCACAAAGTAACCTTTATTATTACATGCTTAATCATTTATAGCAATTAACATGAATCTATTGTAAAAATCTATACTTAAAAATACTTACATTTAGTGTGTCATGAAAATCTTCCAATTTATGTGAAACATTGGTATTGAAATTATATACTTGATAAGCTCGAGCTATTGCAGCACAATTAACAGTAAGATCTAATCTTTTAAATTTGTCTTTAATCATTTGAAACATGTTTTGAACTTCATCCTCTGAAGTTATCTATTTTATTGAAAATAATGATAAATTCATATTAATAAAACTCTGAACAGCATATCATGATATTCCACATACAATATTTATTCGCATATAGGACAAGGTGTGATTTTAAAAATCAAAATTAAGAAAATTAGATTTATTAATACAATTCTAATTTTATTTTATTTAATCACAAATTAAATATCAAATGCATGTAAATGCACACATTATCCTGTAAAAATTACTGGCACGTTAAACTTTAAGAAAAAATCTTGTAAAATCAACAACATAATTTGTTCACGTAAAGCTGCACAATCGGGAATCTTATTTGACAATTCTTAACGTTGAATCCACTTTCCATTGATTACGCTTATGAGTTTCTCTGAATTCTGATTTCCGAATAATTATCTGTTTTCATGTGGGAATGGATTAAAACTTATATCGGGCTCCTGTGTGATTTTGGAATTCAACTTAAAAACTTTGCTTTTCCTATTGCTATTCATCTGCTCCTGAGGATACACACAAACAATTCAAATGAACCAGATAAAATACTTGTGTTTTTAAACACCAGAGGGTGAGCATCCAGTAAAAAATGCAAATATACAGTTCAAAAAACTTAGTACAAAAACACAAAGAATCCTTCGCTCGTGCATATAAGTCAACTTAGGTTTTTGAAACAGTGAAAAATGAATAAAAACTTGTCTTATATGCGAGTAAATATAGTACATCTCAAAATAAATAAATAAAAATAAAACCTGTAATAAATTTACTTTACGTATTTAAAATACTGTATCATCACAATTATTATACATACTATTTTTTATCTGAATTTAAAAACTAATAATTATTATAACAGAGTATTTAAAATGTAAAATGTAACTTCGGACATGTGAAAAACATTGATCATGCTACTTTCTATTGAGAAGTCTCAAGGATTTATATCTAGAGAATGTGCAGACCATCAACCCTCTTCCATGGTGTTTTCCATGATGCAAAAATCATTGAAGTTGAGGACAAATATCTTGAACATATTGTATAGCTTGCTATTCAGTTATGCTAAAATCAAGGTGTAAGAATACAGGTGATACCACTCCTATTGTTTGACTGTCAAAAACTTCTCAGGAATGTGGTCTTACTTCAGATGTTCACCACCAGGCGTCATCTTATTAGAAAGTCTATTTTGTATCATTGCTTATCATTTTATGTTGTCTCATTCAACAGTATTTTAAAAAAATTCTTAGAAAAGAATGTCTTTTAAATAATGTGTGCATAATTGCAAAGATAATTATTATCCAAAGAAACAAATAATAAATGTATTTAAGATAACAAATGATTTGGAATTATTTAAAAAATGGAAACAAGCAATACTGTGTGCAGATCAAGAACTGATTGAATGCTATGACATTTGTAAAAAGCATTGTGCTCTGTATCAAATTCTTCATTCGTAGAGAGTATATAAAGATAGAAAGGAAATCATCAACGTTCCTTATAAAACTTCTTGACAAACTAAGAATGCAGTGCCAGTTTGTTTCCGAAATTCCCATCATACCTTTCTAAACCTAGCAAAGTACTTTGAAAAAGTCTTTTAATTACCTTTAAACTATTTAACCAATCCATAACCTAAAATATACTTCTAATTGCTGTGTTTTTTCTACAGCAGTGTAAAAATTATAACCAAATATATTTTATTGCAGTAGTTTTTTGGGACAATTAGAAGAGCTGGATGTCAAAATAAACATCCTGTCTTCTAAGCTTACCACTGAGCCTTTCCTGGATGTTAGTTATTTTTGCATTCTCTATCTTGAGAGAGTGTGGGTTTTGGTTGAATATGTAATTCTCAATATTGGCTGGTTAATCAAAATGCTTGGTTAATATTGAGAATTACATATTCAACCAAAACCCACACTCTCTCAAGATAGAGAATGCAAAAATAAACATCCTGTTTTTCAAACATTTTTGCAACTACATAATGATATATATACATGTAGATTGTCATCATTATATTCCCCTATAAAAGCCACTAAGATACTAAGATCTGGTATTACACTGTATATATATATATTTCCTATATAAGTGAAGACTTTAGCTAAAATTATGTTGTTATAATTTTACCATAAAATAAAAATTTGAACAACAATTTCATATTATTGGGCCGCAATTTGAAAAAATTGTAGACCTTTAAATTCCCACTGTTGGATAACAGTAGGAATTTAAAGGTCTACAATTCATCTGCCTGAACTTCCTTAATCTCAAGAATAGAGTTAGTTAGATGAAAGCTAAGACAAGATATGGAAAGCTTAGAAGCATGAGGCCCAATTAACTATATATGAACTTCTGATGCAAACTTGAAGTCACATTATTTCAATTAAAAAATTTTTCCCTGAAAAAGAGATAGATGACTAGCATAATTGTATTGCTAACAGTAAAAGTATGATACACAAAGACAAGACATTACTAATTTGAGGTGGAGAACATATATTTTAAATCAAATACATTAAAAATATGATTAAAAATTGTAGTCCAGCATTGTGACAATGTCACAATAAATACTGTATTTGCTCGTTGCAATATATCTTTTTCAGGTCCTTGCTGAGTGAAAGTATATTATAAAAACTATAATATATATATTGATTTTTCAGGACAAGTTCATTTATAGTTAAATTGTTAAATATATACTTACATCAGTAGAAGAGAATACACAGTTGTTACCCAAATCTTTTGCAATGCTTTCTCCATTTGATGTTGGTAAATCACAGATGATTACTTTAGCTCCTTTACTTATTAAATTTTTTACAGTAGCCTGTCCTAAACCCGAAGCTCCTCCAGTAACAACAGCTACAAGATCCTTAAAAAAATTAATTTCAAATTTAAATGTAGTAATTAAAACTAACAAATCAAATTGTATTTTCACATATTATATATACTGACATATAAGTCTACCTCAAGATTTTCAGACTCTGGTTTAAACCTACACTCAGACATGCAATAGGGTATCAGTAGGCTAGAACTAAGATGTGGATATGGTATGTGATAGTCCACAGTAAAAATGTATAATAAGAGCACAACACTTTCATCAGAATATTGACTATTATACCTTTCAATATACAATATATATGTTTTGCAAGTCTGGAAACATCGTTCATTCTTGAAATAGACTAATTTTGAATTGTCAATTTTACATTACCATTTTATAGTTTCTAATAAGATGCCAACATTTGTTTGAGTCTTTGGATTATGATTTAGAAAATGTTAGTGTGTCTTATTTAGACAACAGTGTTTCCTATTCACTACCAATCACAAAAGTTTGGCATAGATTAATTTTTGTATTATCTTTTTACCTGAAGATTACTTAATATTTTATACTTGCTAATGATGTTCATTACAGACATGTTACATTAAATATTATATTACAGCTTAAGCATACATAATAAATAAGTAAGTACTCATTGCAACAATTTCAAAATTAAAAACTCCAAAGATAACAATAAATGAAAACATATATATATATATATATATATATATTATGTACTATGCAGTAAAGCTCATATAGAAAAGGATAAAGACAACAGTATCTATGCAAGATGCATAACAACTGCAAAAATCTTCAGTAATTTATCTTGATAGATCTCTATTATATATCAAATCTACTGATAAACCTATTTGAGCCAAAATCAACATCATCAATAAGGGTGCGATTATGCAGATGCAAATTTAGTAGCAAGCAAGAGGTTGTGAGTGATATAGTTCTCACAAAGAGAAACATGTGCAAGTGAGAAGTGAGAAATCTAGCTAGCGTGAGCAAACATATCTGACAGAATTTTTGGTTCTGCACATATCTGACAGGGTTTGATATTTATTGCATCTCGCCTCTTCTCACCACATATTCTTGCTTGCTCGTGTCTGCATAGTTGCATCCTAAGATATCACTAGTTTACATAGCATAGTACCATATTATTATTGATACACTTGGTTTATAATAGTATAACACTGTGGTATGTCTTTGCTTATGCATTCCATTTATATCAGTATGACTGGCCCATCAAATGATAAAAATTTGCATTTTATACCACTATATAACTTTATTTCTTGTTTTGGAAAAATGTGAAACAAAAAGTGTATACTAAAGTCCAAAATTAAAACTAGAATAGATAACCTGTAATAATTTATGTATGGTGTAATAAAATTGACCGTACATAAATTTTCAAGCACAAAGAGTTTGTGTAACAAACATTTTCTGTTTATTTTATAAACCTGTTTCAGGTTTCAAATTACACAATTCAACATACCCAAATTGGAATGTTTCAAATTTTCAATGATGTTATAAAATTCTTTTTAAAATATTGTAATTATGTATACATAAATATATATTTAAACAAGTATATATTAATAAAAAAATGCATAGGCATATGGAATTCCTGTAGTTTACTTTATTTGTAAAAATACAAATATTTAAATAAAATACTTTCTTACTGGAACTACACTATAAATAAAATCAAAACCTACAATCCAGCAAATCGTTTTTTAATATCTTAGTGTTGCGTAAACTCGAAAATGATATACTCCCCTCGTTCCAGGAAGACATATTGGCTTACGCAAGATATGTGGATGATATCTTTATTTTATGGAAGGATAATCGCAGGGTTAACCAATTTATAGATCTGATCAACGACAACCCATATGGATTAACCCTGTAGCTAGAGCAGGAAAGTGGAAACAATGTTAATTTTTTGGATTTATCTATAACTTGCAAAGAAGGGGAAATCAGAACAGACATATACCGGAAACCCACTTATCTTCCTATTGTCATTCCTAGGAACTCCGCAGACCCTGAGTATATAAAAATTGCCGTTTTTCGTTCATGGATAATGAGGGCACACGCATTGCACCAGCATCTGCGACACGTACAAAGAATTGGATTATATACGAAACATAGCGATACAGCAGGGATACCGTAGAGAAAGAATAGATGCTCTCATTGCGAATTGTCGGAAGTGCCACCCCTCTCAGAGAGGGAATCAGTGTAAAGAGAGAGTCATGCTTAATTACATACCGTTCCTCAAAGGAATGGTTAAAAAAATTACCAGAGATAAGAACATACAGATAGTTTACAAGCGTAATCCCACCGTATATGGGCTCTTAAGAAACAATAAAGGCAGTTACAAACGCAACATGATGGCAGGAGTATACTCAATACCGTTAAAAGACAGTAGATTTAATTCTAATTTGGTATACATAGGAGCAACCATGAGAAACTTAAAGAAAGGAATTGCTGAACATAAGCACTCGGTAAATAAAAACATAGACTCTATGGTGCTTGCTGCCTTTGCTAAGCAACAGAATATCGAGGTCTTTTGGGATCGGGCGGCGATCATTAAAGCTACAAGATCCAGGCAGGCTATAAAACATCTGGAAAAACTAGAAATTCACAAGGTGAAGTTGCACACAAACTGTATTAATCATAGGGATGCTGACAGATTGTCATCAGCATGGAAATCCTTCTACGATGAGTTGACGTAGTTTATATAAGCGGGAAGAATAATTAAGATAATTTTTACTGAATGTATATATTTTATTTTATTTCTTTGTTTCAATTTAATTAACTTGTATAATTTTTGCAATTATTTAAACTTGGTAAATGTTAACGTACATTTATGTAACAGCTTTTTGAATTTTTGTTTTACGTAATTTCGAATTCTTCGTTAGATTCAAAATGATAATTGAGGATGATCGCTTAAAGCGTTCGAAAGTGTTTTTAAGATATTAAAAAACGATTTGCTGGATTGTTTAAAGGTTTTGATTTTATTTATACAAATATTTTATTTATTTAAACTTGGTAAATGTTAACGTACATTTATGTAACCGCTTTTTGAATTTTGTTTTACATAATTTCGAATTCTTCGTTCGATTCAAAATGATAACTGAGGATGATCGCTTAAAGCGTTCGAAAGCGTTTTTAAGATATTAAAAAACGATTTGCTGGATTGTTTAAAGGTTTTGATTTTATTTATACAAATATTTTATTTTTCATTAATATATACTTGTTCAAATATATATTTATGTATACATAATTACAATATTTTAAAAAGAGTATTATAAATAATGTCATTCAATATTTGAAACATTCCAATTTGGGAATTTTGAACAGTGTAATTTGAAACCTGAAGCAGGCTTATAAAACAAACTGAAAATCTTTGTTACACAAACTCTTTGTGCTGGAAAATTTATGTATGGTGTTAATTTTATTACAAAAAGTATATATATGGTAAATGATCAATAATAGAAATGGAAGTATGAAAAATTATGAATTTATATTCTTTAAATTTAATGTTTACATCTTGATAAAAATCACTTCTGTGCATTTGGAGCTAGAACTATTCAAAATGACTAGCCATTTACACACTGAGTACTATATTGTACTCAGTGTGTAAATGACTAGAAACAAAGTGAGAAAGGTTTTGTCTTAGTCATTGATAAAAATCACTAATATAATTAATATTTTTCTTGTATTACATAAAATTATTAATAATAAAAAAATTAAATTTCAAATACAGCATCAATTGTTTCCTATTTTTCTAGGAATATTGATTTTCATTGTCTGAACTTACATATAAACAGAATTTTATAATTTTCATAATTAAGAAAACTATTTTACTAAATTGCAGAGATGACTTCCTACTTACTGTGCTGAAACAAATAATAAATGATAGTGTACTTGCTTTATCTATTAGATTATCTATTGTATCTAACTTTTCTAATACAGTTGATCATACATAATGAGATCAGTTGTGGCAAATTCAGTTAATATGAGCTTTTCACTGTCCCCTTAAATTTTTATAAAGATTGGACACATCACAGATTCCAGTAACCAATCAGAGTAAAAAAGTCTTTAACATCAAAATAATTTTTCATTTCACATGACATACTATTTTCAAAATTGAAATGTTCCATTTAAAGCTTGTTCTATTTTTGAAGGGCTATTATAATCTTAAGACCACAGAAAACATTTGTTTTATGTACAGTACATTCTTATGTGCTGTTCATTCTTTGCTAGATTTTTGGGTATATAATGATTGCATAACAAAATAAATTTATAGTTTATTGTTGAAATATCTGCTTTTTATTATCTTCTTACATTTTATGCAATATTAAGGCTGCTTTTAGATGGCCATTCATCTCATTGAAATCCTTCTATTTTAAAAGTTTTTCTCACTTGGGATTTATTGGTGAACATCTGTGCAAGGAGATGGGACTCTCACACTGCACAGTGTAGAGATTTCTGCATGGGAAAATTTTACTGGGCATCTCAAACAACCAGACTACCCAAGGTCATTAAGTGACCTTGACAAATTACCAGTTGGCCATAATATAAGATGGCTTGTGCAGAATACATGATGTGATCTTTCCTCTTTTGTTTCCTCTTGGTTAATTAGATAATTTCCATGCACTCAAAGCTAGAACTATGTAAAATAAGTAAGACAAAACCTTTCATACTTTGTTTCTAGCAGTTTAATCACCAAGTACAAACATTTTCAGCTGTTTTGAATGGCCTTCTTCAGGTACAATAAGGTCGGTTGGAATGTCTGTTATTGTACCTGAAGTCCATTCAAAACGGCTGAAAATGTTTGTACTTAGTGTTTAAACTGATAGAAACAAAGTGTAAAAGATTTTGTCTTACTTATAATTAGATGATGTGATCTTTTTGGTTGTGTTCAGATCCTGACAAAAATTAGATCAGATTCATGGTAAATTTACAATTCAATTTATAAATTTGAAGGTTATATGCCAGACTTTTCTTTATTCTTTATACATAAATATCATTAGAATGCCTAACCACTGTGCTGGGCTGTCTGTTAAACATGCGATAGAATAAGATGTGAACTCTGAATGAGGGGTTTCCCACCCACCCCAGAATTGCAGACCTCCTGTATGAACAAAAAAAAGTCAAAGGAACCATACCTGTACAAGCAAACTTTTGTGAGCTATTCACTTTCAAAGGTCAGTTTTCACTGTGTACCAGTACTACTGCCTATGGGGCATGCATAGTTTAAATCTTGTCACTTGCAGCACTACTGTCAGCTTGATGTATACTTAACTTCTGGTAGTGAGTAAGTAGTAGAAACTGAATGTGAAGTTTTAATCTTCTTATAAAAACATTGTAACAATTGCTGAATTACGAAAGAAATTAAACAAATTAGAGAACAAGACAACAGGGACAAAAGAAAAACTTTTAGACACAAGCTTAAAATAACAAGTATAAACTGACACTTTTACAGTTATTGGTTTTCATTTTTGATCTTGTAATAGAATTATGAGGCCAACAATTTAGTTTTACTCAACTTCAATTTGTAATATACATTTAAATTTTAGATACATAATAATAAACACAAAACAATGTTAAAATTATTGTCATTAATGTTTGATAATAATTAAAACAATTTTAAGCTGTTTTTGAAATTAACTGTATTGTCAAATGTAGCATAATTATAAGGACACCATATTTTTGGTAAAATTCATATCATTTAATATTTAGTTGAAGCACCTTTCATTTGAATAACACCAAACACTATCAGACATAATTTGAATCGATTTTTGCAATTGTTTCACTTCAATAATTTCTCAAGCATCCCTAATTGGTAATTTTACCTGGTTTACTTAAGAATAATGCTTGCCTTGATCAATACTCCACATATAGTTGTGCATGGCAGCAACAGTACAATGCCATGCACAACTACATGTGGATTTGAATTTATAAATTCAATCAATCAATATAGAAATTCAAGGGATCAACCTAATGTTGGTAGTTCTGTTCAACATGTACAGTACACACCTGAATTGCTGGTACATTCCACTGAGTGGCACAAAATAACTAAATAAGAAGTTTGAACAGCATAAAACAATCTCAGATATTATTATTCTCTCATAATAATTATAATTAATATTCAATAAAATAAGATATACATAAATTTTTTCAAGTTCTTTTGTTATAATATATGAAGTGTGCAATGCCATAATGTAAATGCCAAAATAGAAACTTTTCAGGAGATAAAAACACTTTTTCTAATGAATGAATTCATTTCAATTTTACAATAAGATGGTAAAAAACTCACTAGATTACAAATTCTCTGGAATATCAAAATGATGTAAATATAAGCAGTAACATTTTAAGTGCCAAAAGTCACATGACTTGCACTCTGGCTCTTTAAATGTTATATCTTCATATAAATTCATCTTCAAAATACAGTCACTTATGGTGCCACAATAATGTCTTGTGGCAATCATTGCATTTTGAATTCTTCAATAAAATGTATTTAAAGAAAAATGGCATTGCATGCTTCATATATGACAATTGTTAAGATTGCAGATGTAAATGAGACTGTTGAGGCCTTAACAGCTGTAGAGCATGCCCATAGGAGCAAAAGGTAAAAAAAGCCATAACTAAGCATCAAAATATAACCCCTGAAATCAGCCTACTTTCAGGGCACAATTGGGAGTTGTGCTTCATGCTCTGCTAAGACTATTGTGTTTAATTATTCAGCCCAGATAACTATGTTGACTTTGAGTAGTCCACTTAACTGTTCATGGAGTACTTGATGTTATATGTTTTAGGGGTGCGGGAGGTTGCTGTCATGCCCAACTGCATATGGAGTGTAAGTCAAGACAAGCAATAGCAAACCTTGACTGATGCAGAGCATAGAGAATAGGTACACTGGTACACAGTGAAAACTGACCTTTGAAATTGAATAGTTCACAAAGATTTGCTTATATAGGTATGGTTCCTTTGACTTTTTTTGTTCATACAGGTCTACAATTCTGGGGTGGGTGGGAAACTCCTCATTCAGAGTTCCCATATTATCCTATCGCATGTTTAAGAGACAGCCCAGCGCAGTGGTTAGGCATTCTAATATTTATGAATAAAGAAAAGTCTGACATGTGACCTTTCACAAGATATCTGGCTCCAAATGGAGAACCCCAATGACAGCAGTTCCAGCCACCATCTTGCTTGTGGACATCATGTTTGAAAGCAAGTTATGTTTAGACAAGGTGACCAGTGCCTTTAACAAAAATAATAAATGCATTAACTTCTACTGATTAAAAACAATTTTTACCTTGAACATGTACTACTGCCTATTCTCCATGGTCTGTGTTGGTCAAAGTGAGCAATGGCAAATCTTAACCAACACCAGGGCCAGCCCGAGAAAAAATAGGGCCAGTGCAAAGTTGTCATGCGAGGCCTTTAAAAAGTAAAAAAACAGTTTAGGACAACAAAATAATATTTTAATGGTAAACGTACCATCTATTAAATAGATTAGGAAATAATGAAATGATCAAATTTTAATTTTGCAAGAACTGAATCATGCAGGATCACAGGACCTTGTGTGATTGCACCGGTCACACTGCCCTCTGGCTGGGCCGGCCCTGACCAATATGTACTCCACATGTAGTTGTGTGTGGGAACAACACACAACTACACAACACGCATGGAAAGTAGCTACACAACATAGAAGTAAGCTGATTTCGGGGAGCTATCTATCTCACGCATGCAGAGGTATAGTTATTTTGACTTTAATGCTCCTAAGAGCATGCTCTACAGTTCTATTAAGCTTCCAAAAATGTCATTCACATCTTACCCTAACAAGTTTTCAAGTTTACTCATTTTGAATAAAAAATTATCCATATATACCTTCCACTGTCTAAAACAAGCCATCACACGTGACAAAATAAACACTTTACGGCATGCTCGATATTTTCGTTTTTAGTGTTGCCAGATATTTACGATCATTAAAAAATAATATTTTATAATTAGCATTTAGTTATTTTATTCACATTTTTTATATTTTTATAATTAACAAATTCGAAAACTAATAAATAAATAAGATTAAAATTAGTAATAAATAAGTTTCTTTTTTTTCGGCGATATTTTAACGATAAATTTACACCTCGTGACTAAACGTGTTTATCATTCTCACATGATTAAGACGTCGATTTCGAAGAAAGATGGAAAAGCAATTGGAGAAATGTGTTGACGAGATGTAAGCATGATATATATATATTTTTTAAATTTAATAACAAGTAATGACAGCATTTAAAACGAAAAATGAGCAAAATAAAATGTAAATGCTTCAAAAGTCGGAGAGTTAATGATTTTCGACAAGTATATTTAAATTATCAGCTGTGTTAGCGTATTTAAAAAAAAAAACATTAGTAGAATATGCTAAATTCAAGCTTTGAATAATACAAGTTTTTTAAAAATACTTTTATATTCTTCATCAGTTAAAAATATTCAAGTCAGTTTCTTAACTAATTATACTAATGTACACCAATATTATTATACTCTTGTGTTATTTATTGCATATATTTATTATAGTTTATCATTATTCAAAATGTGGTGTAAAAAGATATCCATAAATTCATAAAATAAAAATTTATTTATATGACACATTTTCTTTCAAAGTACTATAAATACATTTGTTTTCATTAACTGTCAATTCTGATTAACCCGGCGCTCCTCGTGGTCGGATTTGTTACGCAGTTACTCGAGGGCGAGTGTTGAACTTGCCCTATGTATTTCTATTGTTAATGATTTGTCTTGAGAAATTTTAGTAAGATCGGGAAGTTTTGTTATGGATAATACACACTTTAATGTTTCTTTCACTTTAGTTTTGAATACGTTAAAAGTAATTTCGGTATAGAAACAGAAAACTGATATCTAATCGGGTCGATCAGATTGATAAAAATAGAAGTACGATATCTGAAGTTATTGTAAAACTTAATTATAATTTCTATTGACATTCTTAATCTGTTTATTCTGAATTTTTGAAGTTGCATTGTTTGCAGATTTGTGTAGTAGTAGTAGTAGGCTACATGTTACACTTTTGCGTGCTTTTTTCCTTTTTTTTTTTTTTTGGGGGCAATATGCACACTTTTCTCTTGATACTGATGTTGCCTGTAAAAGATCTGGTTTCTTTCTCAACACACACTTCCAGGATTTTCATATAAAGATCCTCATTCTTGTTTTTGTGAGGAAGGAGTCTACATTTTCTTCCTCAGACTCCTCATCAAGCCATTTCAGAAACATTTCATCACGTTTTTTGCTAGTATGTATATACAATATCACTTCACAGTTAGAATCATACCACTTGATATGCAAAAATAAGATACAGGATTACTTGTGGGTGAGCATTACTGAAAGTGTTAGCAATGACTATTACAGTTGTCCCTTGATAATCCGACAGGTATGGGACCAAAGGTGTGTCAGATTACCAAAAGTGTCTGGATTACCAAAAATAATTACATATTTCGCATTGTTTTGCTAGCAGTAACTTACAATATTCTCTACTCCAACTGTTCGAACAGAACTGCTCACATAAAACACACGAAATGTGTGTCATCGAGTAAGAATTGGATGGGGAATTCACATCGCGACATGCTTCTGTGCAAGCAGACACGTAACGGGGACGGGTACCTTGACGGGAGGTGCGTCGGACTACTGAGCATGTCGGATTAAAAAACGTCGGACTATAGAGGGACAACTGTACTTCCAATTCCAGTATCTTTTTGAAGGTGATACTTGGGTAGAAAGGTAGATGAGAGTTTGGCCACAAAACTTCTGAGAAGCTCAATTTACTAACATTTAAAACAAAAGGTAAGTGCAGCACTCATCCTCAAGTAACAGTGGGTTAACTGCAAAGAACTTTCAATTTATTTGTTGAATATTTAATAAAAAAAAGAATATTGTACTATTTCAATGAACCCATTTATATCATATCTACAGGGGCGGACTAAGGCCTAGGCAACCTAGGCACGTGCCTAGGGCCCGTAATTTTTGGGGCCCCAAAAATTAGGTTTTTAATTTTTTAATTTTAAAAATAGGCCCGGAATTACAATGTTGCCTAGGGCCTGCTTTAGCCTTAGTCCGCCTCTGCATATCTATTTGCTTTTCTATTCAATTTATGATTATAAAATATTCAGCTCATCATATTTTTAATAATGTAAATTAGATTTGAGAGCAAGGTTTAGTCTTTATCAGATACATTATTAAACTAATAGGTCATTCGACACAAGGAGGGAAAAGGGTACTTATTCAGAAAACTGGTATTAATTTAAGCTTGTAAAATGTGTGTTTTACCACCAACAATTTAAGTATTGCATAATTAATTTTAGTTATTAACTTTTTTAGAAATAAAATATGCAACACAGGATGATATGCAAAAATTTGCCTTAAAGCAATAATCTGTCTAAATAATTATTTTATTTCAATTTGAAATATGTTACAAATTTTAGACTGAATTACAACCTCTAAACCAGCGTTTCTCAAAGTGGGCGATAACGCCCCCTTGTGGGCGCTGGAGGCTTTCAGGGGAGCAGTAGAAGGCTCAAAGAGAATTGGGGGGCGTTAAGGAAATATAGAGGGGCGACGGCAGACAAATTCTATATATAAAAATTCGACGGAATATATATAAAATGTTGACATTTTATATATTTTTTATTGAAAGTCACAACTTGAATATTTCTGACACATTGACTTTTATTTTAGCACAGCATTTCTCAAAGTAAGCAATAACGCCCCCTTCTGGCGCGATGAATAGATCTATGATAGAGGCAGGGTATTGAACGGTGACCAAAGGCAAAATTGGGGCTGATAAGAGGAAACATTGCGTTTAATGGTTTCCAGATGATGAGAACAATGTACAGTAAGGGCACAAAGTGTGAGATTCATAGAAAAGTTTTCCTAA